AGATCGAGACCATCCTGGCTAACATGGTGAAACCCTGTCTCTACTAAAAATACAAAAAACTAGCTGGGCGTGGTGGCGGGCGCCTGTAGTCCCAGCTACTTGGGAGGCTGAGGCAGGAGAATGGCGTGAACCCGGGAGGCGGAGCTTGCAGTGAGCTGATAACGCGCCACTGCATTCCAGCCTGGGAGACACAGCGAGACTCCGTCTCAAAAAAAAAAAAAAAAAAAAAAAGAAAAGGTACCCGCCACCTCCCCCCGCCCGCATCTCCCGTCTCCTTGGTCTGCCTTGGCCCACCCACTGCTTGTCTGCGTCAACCTGGCTGCGGTTTTGTGACTAGGAGGCAACAAAACCAGTGCTTGAACCCGGGAGGCAGAGGTTGTAGTGAGCAGAGATTGTGCCACTGCACTCCAGCAAGACTCCATCTCAAAAAAAAAAGAAAAAAAAAAGCGACGGGCAAGGAGCAGAAAGCCAGCAAGAACCTGGGAGACCGCACCAGCCCTGGCCTGCCTCCCCCACGTCAGCCAGCCCTGCAGAGTCACAGCCTGGGTTTGTGGCTGCATTTCTTGGAAATACAAGAAGGCAATAAAGGAAGCAGGAGTGCGTAGCATCTTCATCCCAGGGCCCTGCACAAAGCCAGTTCCAGGAAGAAACAGAATAGTCTCCAAGTTGTTCTGGGAGCTCCAGATGAAATCCTTCCGTCCCCAAGTTCCCTAACCCAAGGTGTTTCTCCACATAGGGCTTAGAAAACTATCTCCCCCAAGGGAGCCATTTCAATTAATGCCTTTCATCGCTTCACAGTCTGAGGTCTGCTTCCTCCCATCCACTGGGTCTTCCTTCCACGACTGTAGGCCTGAGGGACAGGTGGGCAGGTAGACAGTGCTTGTCAGCTTCGCTTTACAGATGTGGAAACTGAGGCACGGTTACACTACAGGTTAAGTGGCAGCACCAGAACTGGACTTTCTTTCTTTTTTTTCTTTTTTTGAGATGAAGTCTCGCTCTGTCACCCTGGTTGCAGTGATCTCGACTCACTGCAACCTCTGCCTCCCGGGTTCAAGCGAGTCTCCTGCCTCAGCCTCCGGAGGAGCTGGGATTACAGGTGTGCACCATCACGCCAAGCTAATTTTTTTTTTTGTATTTTTAGTAGAGACGGGGTTTCGCCATGTTGACCAGGCTGGTCTCGAACTCCTGACCTCAAGTGATCCGCCTGCCTTGGCCTCCCAAACTGCTGGAATTACAGGCGTGAGCCATTGCGCCCAACCTTTTTTTTGAGATGGAGTCTCGCTCTGTTATCAGCTCACTGTAACCTCCACCTCCCTCATTCAAGAGATTCTCCTGCCTCAGCCTCCCGAGTAGCAAGTAGCTGGGACTACAGGCATGTGCCACCACACCCAACTAATTTTTGTGTTTTGTTTTGTTTTTCAAGACAGAGCCTCACTCTTGTCACCCAGGCTGGAGCGCAGTGGCGTGGTCTCAGCTCACTGCAACCTCTGCCTCCCAGGTTCAAGCGATTCTCCTGCCTCAGCCTCCCGAGTAGCTGGTATTACAGGCGGCGCGTGCCACCACACCCCCCAGCTAATTTTTGTATTTTTAGTAGAGACAGGGTTTCACTATGTTGGCCTGACCTTGAACTCCTGACCTCGTGATCTGCCCGCCTCAGCCTCCCAAAGTGCTGGGATTATAGGTGTGAGCCACTGTGCCCAGCCTTTTTTTTTTTAAGAGATAGGTTTTCACCATGTTGGACAGGCTGGTCTCACACTCCTGATCTTTTGTGATCAGCCTGCCTCCGCCTCCCATAGTGCTGGGATTACAGGCGTGAGCCACCATGCCCGGCCTGGACTCAGTTTTCTAACACCACTTGATCATTCATTAACACATCTGTTAAGATGTGTGTTGAGTGACTCATGCACCGGGCTCTGTCATGGGCCCAGGGGAGAGCAGAGGGAACAGTACGGCCACGGTTGTGGCTCGCATGGGCTTTTAGAGCCTTTACATCAACTCAGGTGACCTTAGTTACATATTCACAGTTAGGAAAAAGGAGTCTTGAGGTATGCATGTTTGTTAGGATGCTTCGATGATTCGCAGCAGAAAAACTCAAAGCAGCCTAAAAATATAGTGGAGGCTGCACACCGTGGCTCATACCTGTAACCCCAGCACTTTGGGAGGCTGAGGCAGGAGGACTGCTTGAGGCGAGGAGTTCGAGACCAGCCTGGGCTACACCGGGAGAACCCTGTCCATACAAAAATTTTAAAAATTAGCTGGGTATAGTGGCGCATGCCTGTGGTCCCTCCCAGCTATGAGAGAGGCTGAGGTGGGAGAATCACTGGAGGCCAGGAGTTTGATACCAACCTGGGCAACACAGCAAAAATGCTATCCGTATAAATTTTTTTTTTTTTTTTTTTTTTTTTTTTTTTTTTAAGAGGGAGTCTCGCTCTGTCACCCAGCCTGGAGTGCAGTGGTGTGATCTTGACTCACTGTAATCTCCGCCTCCTGGGTTCAAGTGATTCTCCTGCCTCAGCCTCTGGAATAGCTGAAATTACAGGCGCGTGCCACCATGCCTGATTAATTTTTGTATTTTAGTAGAGATGGAGTTTCACCATGTTGGTAAGGCTGAGTCTTGAACTCCTGACCTCAAATGATACGCCTGCCTTGGCTTCCCAAAGTGTTGGGATTCCAGGCGTGAGCCACCGCGCCCAGCCTATAAAAATTTTAAAACTTAGCCAGGCATGGTGGTGCACACCTGTAGTCCCAAGCACTCGAGAGGCTAAGGTGGGAGGATCGCTTGAGCCCAGGAGTTGGAGGCTGCAGTGAGCTGTGGTTACCTCACTACACTCCAGCCTGGGTAACAGAGCGAGACCCTGTCTCCAAAACATATTAATTAATCAAGCAGATAACTTGGTTCACATAGTTGAATCTTTGGAGGCAGGTTGGGCTCAGGCCGGCCAGAGGTGACCAGAGCTCCGGTTACTTCTCTGACCTTCTCTCCGCTCTGCACTTTCCCTGCAGCTTCCCTTGTTGCTGTTCCACTTCCGCGGTCCACTTACAAATCCGGATTCCTGCAGCTCGCCCAGAAGGGGCTTGGGTGCTGGATCATCAGCTGAAGTCCTGGGCTTTGCTTTGATTGGGCCATGTTAGATCACAAGTGCAGGACAGGGAACACTGTGAGCTGATTTAGACCACTCAGGGCCACTTGGGGTCATTCCCTGGGCATCTACAAAGCGGTGGAAGAGTAGGATGGAAGCCAGAGAAGCCGCAATAGGGTCACCTCAGTTACCCTACACTTGTCCCCGTGGGAAGAGGGCTGCCGGTACAGACCCCTTGAAGCTTTTTATCTGCTTGAACTAAAGCCACTGCCTGTATTTGCTGAGGTTGCCAACATCTGTCTGAGCAAATCTGCAGGAGCAGCAAGATTGGGGGGGCTCACAAAAGTTCGAGCACTTCCTGTGTGCACGCACACTGGATGACCCGCTTCGCACACTTGGACACGTTTAATCCTCCCAGCCACCCTAGGGGGTCGAATTCAGTGGAAAAGAGAGCGGTGGCTAAGGGCACCTCCAATGAGGAGGGTGTCGGGACAAAGGACCTGAGACCCCCCCAGCCACATCCTGCAGGACAAACCAATGTCCGCAGGTGAGGACGGGGTGGGAAAAGTGTTCCAAGCAGAAGGAACAGCGAGTGTCAAAGCCCCTAAGCCTGACGGGGTGGGAGTCTGGCTTGGACCTCCAGAGATCTAGGAAGACCCTGCACAAATACTAGGGAGAGGGGTCTGAAGGAGGCAAGAGGAGGAAAGGTTTTTGTTGTTGTTTGAGAGGAAGTCTCCCTCTGTTGCCAGGCTGGTGTGCAGGGGCACCATCTTGGCTCACTGCAGCCTCTGCCCCGGGGGTTCAAGCAATTCTCGTGCCTCAGCCTCCCGAGTAGCTGGGATTACAGCAGCCCTCCATCGCGCGATGGGGCTCCTTGCAGCTATTTTTTTTTTTTTTTTTTTGAAACAGAGTCTCACTCTGTTGCCCAGACTGGAGTGTGTTGGTGCGATCTCGGCTCACTGCAACCTCCGCCTCCTAGGTTCAAGCGATTCTTCTGCCTCAGCCTCCCGAGTAGCTGGGATTACAGGCATGCGCCACCACGCCTGGCTCATTTTTGTATTTTTTAGTAGAGACGGGGTTTCACTGTCTTAGCCAGGATGGTCTCCATCTCCTGAGCTCATGATCCTCCCGCCTCCGCCTCCCAAAGTGCGGGATTACAGCATGAGCCACCGCGACTAGCCGAGGGAAGGTTTTCATCGGTGGCTCTTCCATGTGTCTGGCCGCCTGGGCACGTATTCACTGAAAAGGCAGAGGGTTAGGATGGGGAGACTCCAGGGACCACCTGGCTCAAGACCCGCAATTAGGCGGCTGCAAGGCCAACCCGGTAACTTTAAGAAGTGAAGCCGATTGACGTGAAACAGAAAGGAAAGAAGCTAGCTGGCCGGCCAGCGTCAGCACAGGCAGCCAGCCAGTGTCACCCTGCCCGGGGACGGCACCCCGGTTTTGTGGCAAGGACACCGAGGGCCGAGGGGGCGGGGCCGGGCTGCCCTGGCCACGCCCGACCGCCTGCGCCCCGCCCAGGGCCTGCACAGTTGGCGCCCCGCGGGTATCAGCGTGAAGGGGGTTCCTCGCCGGCTGGGGACGGGGCTGCGGGGCTCGCCAGCCGCTCACCTGCGTGGGAGCGCAGAGCCCGCAGTACCCGCCGTCCAGGCTCAGAGGACGCGACTCCCCGACCCTGCGCCCGGCAGCCCCCGGTGGCCGTGCGCCCGGCCCAGGCTCGGAGGTCCAGCCCAGCGGCAGCTTAGGCTGCGCGCCTGGCTCCCAGCCTCAGTTTCCCCATTGGTAAAGCGTTGACGGGTGGTTGCGGACGGCTTCTACGGACAGACCCTTAGGCTCCGACGTCTGCGCGGGTCCCGGCAGCACCCTCACCCCGAAGGCAGGGCGGGACCTGGATCTCGCGACCGCTGCCCCAGGTCCCCGCCCCCGGGCCCTACGGGGCTGAGGTCGGGAGGCCCCGCCCCCCGCCCACGAGGAAGTGGCTGCGGCTCCGGCGCGGAGCCCAGAGCCGGTTCGGCGCGTCGACTGCCCAGAGTCCGCGGCCGGGGCGCGGGAGGTGAGGGCCGCGGAGGCGCCCGGAGGTGGGGGTCGGGGGAGCCATCCGGAGGTGGGGGGACGCGTGGATGTGGGGCGCCGCCTGGGAGTGAGCGGGACGGGAGGGATGAGAGGGGGTGCAAGGAGGGGGCCGGGGGGCGCCTGGAAGTGAGGAGGACGCATGGATGTGGGGCGCCGCCCAATAGGGGCACGGGGATGAGTGAGGGCGCACGGAGAGGAGGGGCGCGGGGACTGGGGGCTCGCGGAAAGGAGAGGGAACCCTGGGATTGGAGGGGGCGCGGGGGTGGCTACAGGGCCAGGCCGTGAAAACGCCGGCTCCCTGCGCACCGGGCGCCCTCGGGGCGTTCCCAGCCCCCGGTCCCGAGCGTCCGCCTCGTGCCTTCCACCTCGTGCCTTCCGCCCCTGCTCCCGGGCCCGCATCCCCGGCCTTGCCCCGCGGTCGGTCGGTGTAGCCCCGTTACTTCGGGCCGGCGGGGCCCCACGCCCAGTCACTTCCCCTCCATCCCGGAGCCTTCCGGGTTGCAGCCGCCGGGAAATGAGTTGGCGTCCCCGGCCGCCCCGCCCCTGCCCTCCTGGCCGCTCCCGCTGCTCCCAACCGCCTCCCCTGGGCCAGGTCCGAGGGGTCCCGTACGGGGCGGGCCTGGCCGGTGGAGTCCCGGAACGCACCCCTCAGCGGCGGGGCTCCGCGGCCAGGGCAGATCCGAGCAGCCCCTCCCTTTCCGGAGGCGCAGGGAGAGCAGCCAGGCCGCCCAGGGCGGGGCGGGGCTGGGCTGGGCCGGGCCGGGCTGCACCCGCGGGCAGTGAAGAGATCAGGAGGGCAAGCCCTGGGGAGTCAGACCTCCCCCTGCCTCCTCTGCCAGTGCAGCCCGGAGGCTACCACCACCCATCCCGGCAGGGCGCGGCGGCTCACACACAGAATCCCAGCATTTTGAGAGGCCCAAGAGGGAGGATCGTTTGAGGCCAGGAGTTGGAGGCCAGCATGGACAGCACTGCGAGACCCCTTCTCTATTAAAATAAATAAATAAAATGTAGTCGGCTGCTGTGGCTCATGCCTGTAATCCCAACACTTTGGGAGCCGAGGTGGACGGATCACTTGAGGTCAGGAGTTCGAGACCAGCCTGACCAACATGGTGAAACCCCGTCTCTACTAAAAATACAAAAGTTACCCAAGCATGGTGGCGCTCACCTGTAATCCCAGCTACTCAGGAGGCTGAAGCAGGAGAATAGCTTGAACCCAGGAGACAGAGGTTGCAGTGAGCTGAGATCACGCCATTGCACTCCAGCCTGGGCAACACAGCAAGACTCCGACTCAAAAAAAAAAAAAAAAGTTAGCCAGGTATGGTGGTGCATACCTGTAATCCCAGCTACTCGGAAGGATGAGGCAGGAGAATCGCTTGAACTTGCCTTGGCAGTCAGCCAAGATTATATCACTGTACTCCAGCCTGGACAACAACAGAGGGAGACTCCATCCCTAAATAAATAAATAAATAAAATCTTAGGGATCTAAGTAGGAGTGCCAGCTTCTCCCTTCACTGGCCAGTGACTGGTAAGCGACCCAACCCCTGCCAGCCTCAACTTTCCTTATCTGGAAAATGGAAACCTTAAGGATTGTGAGGCTGCAATGCAATACTGCAGGACACTTGGCAGCGTGTCAGGCGCTGACAGTATAAACGTGTGCTTGTTGCTCACCTTGATCATAGTGTGCCCCTGGGTGAAACTAACTTCCTGGCCTCCAAGATTTGGGGTCAGAGTCCCAAGCTTCGTCATTTAGTAGGAGCCGAGTGACTTTGAGCAAATCATTGCTTTTGTCTGAGGCTGGGTTTCCTCCGGTACAAACTGAAGGTAAAAAGCAAACAGGCTGGGCGTGGGTGGCTCATGGTTGTAATTCCAGCACTTTGAGAGGCCGAGGCGGGCGGATTACCTAAGGTCGGAAGTTCGAGACCAGCCTGACCAACATGGTGAAACCCCATCTCTACTAAAAATATAAAATTAGCCGGGCATGGTGGTGGGCAGGAGAATCGCTAGAACCCGGGAGGTGGAGGTTGCGGTGAGCTGAGATCACGGCATTGCACTCCAGCCTGGGGACAGAGTGAGACTCTGTCTCCAAAAAAAAAAAAAAAGCAAACAAAAAATGTCCAGGCTTGCTTCAGGGAGTAAAAGAGAGAATGGTGAAAGTTCTGGGTAAAATTGCCTTGCCAGATGCCAGTAAAGTTCGTTTCTTACATATGTCTGTACGTAATCCATTGATAGGTCTTTTTCTTTTTTTGGAGTCCGGTCTCACTGTGTTGCCCAGGTGCAGTGCCATGGCTTGATCATAACTCACTTTAGTCTCAAACTCCTGGGCTCAAGGGATCCTCCTGAGTAGCTGGGATTACAGGCATGTGCCTCCACGCCCAGCTAATTTTTAAATATTTAGTAGAGATGGGGTTTTGCTGTGTTGTCCAGGCTGGCCTCAAACTCCTGGCCTTAAGTGATCCTCCTGCCTTGGCCTCCCAAAGTGCTGGGGTTACAGGCATGGACCTCCATGCCTGCCTCATAGGTGTTTTCTTTTTTTTTTTTTTTTTGAGACGGTGGAGTTTCACTCTGTTGCCCAGGCTGGAGTGCAGTGGCATAATCTCAACTTACTGCAACCTCTGCCTCTCGAGTTCGAGTAATTCTCTTACCTCGGCCTCCCAAGCAGCTGGAATTACAGGTGCCTGCCACCATTCCCAGATAATTTTTGTATTTTTAGTAGAGACAGGGTTTTATCATGTTGGGCAGGCTGGTCTCGGAACTCCTGACCTCAGGTGATCCACCTGCCTCCGCCTCCCAAAGTGCTGGGATTACAGGCATGAACCACCATGCCTGTCCGTTGATAGGTCTTTTCTTTTTTTTTTTTTTTTTTTTTTTTTTTTTTTTTGAGACGGAGTCTCGCTCTGTCTCCCAGGCTGGAGTGCAGTGGCCGGATCTCAGCTCACTGCAAGCTCCGCCTCCCGGGTTTACGCCATTCTCCTGCCTCAGCCTCCCGAGTAGCTGGGACTACAGGCGCCCGCCACCTCGCCCGGCTAATTTTTTTTTGTATTTTTAGTAGAGATGAGGTTTCACCGTGTTCACCAGGATGGTCTCGATCTCCTGACCTCGTGATCCGCCCGTCTCGGCCTCCCAAAGTGCTGGGATTACAGGCTTGAGCCACCGCACCCAGCCGATAGGTCTTTTCTAATATTAATAATTACATGGCATCTCAACATGTGAATGTCACAATTTACTCTTTCCATATTGTCGCCTCGGTTTTTCCACACTGTCACCATTATAAAGAGGGCTGTTATAAACATGTTTGCTTTATTTTTTGAGATGAGGTTTCACTCTGACACACAGGCTGGAGTGCAGTGACGAGATCTCGGCTCATTGCAACCTCTGGCTTCCTGGCTCAAGCAATCCTCCAGCCTCAGCCCCTCAGATAGCCAGGACTACAGGCGTGCAGTACCACGCCCTGCTAATTTTTTTTTTTTTTTTTTTTTGGTAGTTTTTATAGACACAGGGTTTTGCCATGTTGCCCAGGCTGGTCTCGGAACTCCTGGATTCAAGCGATCCACCTGCCTTGGCCTCCTAAAATGCTGAGATTACAGGTGTGAGCCATGGCACCCAACCTATGTTTGCTTTTGAAAAAGAAAAATGGGGCCAGGCGTGGTGGCTCACACCTGTAATCCCAGCACTTTGGGAAGCCAAGGCAGGTGGATCACAAGGTCAGGAGTTCGAGAACAGCCTGTCCAACATGGTGAAACCCCATTTGTACTAAAAAATAAAAATAAAAATAAAAATAAATAGCCAGGTGTGGTGGTGGGCGCCTGTAGTTCCACCTACTTGGAAGGCTGAGACAGGAGAATTGCTTGAACCCAGGAGGTGGAGGTTGCAGTGAGCCAAGATTGCGCTATTGCACTCCAGCCTGGGCGACAAGAGACTCCATGTCAAAAATAAAAAAAGAAAGAAAAATGTGTTGCTGTTTTCTTAGGACAAAGAATGCAGATTTTTTTCTTTCTTTCTTTTTTTTTTTTTGAGATAGTCTCGCTCTGTCACCCAGGCTGGAGTGAAATGGCATGATCTCAGCTCACTGCAACCTCCACCTCCCAGGTTCAAGTGATTCTCCTGCCTCAGCCTCCTGAGTAGCTGGGATTATAGGAGCACGCCACCACGCCTGGCTAATTTTTGTATTTTTGGTAGAGACAGGGTTTCACCATGTTGATCAGGCTGGTCTCGAACTCCTGACCTCGTGATCCGCATGCCTCAGCCTCCCAAAGTGCTGGGGTTACAGGCGTGAGCCACCGCACCCGGCAAGAATGCTAATTTTCAAGTTCCTGTTAGTGTTATTCTGTTCTATTAATATTTGTTCTCACCCACTTGTTGAATTGAGTACCCTTCAGAAGAATTAAACCAATTAGCAACAAATGACAGTTTCTCCACAGCTTTGCCAGCATTGAATTTTATGTGGTTTTGGTTTTTGTTTGGTTTGGATGACTAACCGGTGCTTTAATGGTGCCTTACGATTGTTTTCGTGTGTGTTTCTTGACTTGCCTTTGCATGGTTGGTAAGACTGAAAGAGCAGAGCTGGGGAGGGAAGGATAGGGGTAGCAAGAGCTCCAGCCCAGCGTAGGAAGTTGAGTAACTGCTTAGCACGGTGCAAATTAGCCTGCTGGCTGCTCTATCCAAGAACTGTCTGAGCTGGGTGGGGACTTCCCGGAGCGCCTGTAATGCTGAGATCTTTCCTCCAGGCAGCTCCTGCTTGGTTTAGCCTCAGATACAGCCAAACCTCTGAATTCAGGGAGACCTAGGGAAGCCAGGCCAGAAAGATCCCGCAGCTTGTGCCTGGTCCAGCCCCAGCCTCATCTGGATAAAGATGGGAGGGAATTATTGAGCTGAGGGCACCCAGCCAGTATGAAGAGAGCTAGAATGTAAACCCAGCACAGTAAGGAAGACAGTATCAAGGCCCAGGACTTTAGAATGCCCCCCTCCACCCCCCACCCTGCC